CCCGCGCGGCCACCCCCAGCCAACAGCCCAGCGCGCCGGAAGTGGCGAGCACCAGGCGGCCTCAGCCCGCGGCCTGCTGCGGCGCTGGAACCGGACCAATCCGGAATCAAGTGAGGGCAGAGGAGGGCGGGGCCGCACCTGACGGTTCGCTGGCCCCGCCCACCCCGGCCCCGCCCTAGCGGCCGCGGACCGCCGCGTTGGTAAAGGGACACGCGGCCATTTTGGTAAAGGAGAGGTTTCCCTTTCGTTTCTGTCGCTCATTCATTCCGCAAATCTTTTTTGAGCGCCTTTCCGGACCCTGGCACCGGACCAGAAGTTCGGCGGCGCTGGACTGTGTTGTCTCCTGGGGCTTTTATTCATTCCGTCCACTGCTCCGGGTGCTAAGACCAGAAAGTGTCACAGGACGAATTGAAACAATGTTCCGATCTTAATTGGCTTCATTCTCAATTCTAGAGTCAGACGATACTTAATAGAACAAAACACGGAACAAATGTTCCAACGAGCAGAGTAGCAAAAGCGGTCTTAGATCGATGAAAGGGGGCCTAGAGAAAGCAGAGACAAATCACTGGACTGTATGGAAGGTACTTATGAAGTTGGGGCAGAACCAAAGAAAAACAACTGGGTAACAACAGTGTACTTTTGTTTGTGTGAAGATCAAGAAGAGGGAATTTCATTATCATTCAAGTAAATGTAGTCCTAGAAGATTTAAAAAAAGCAAAACTGGTCTGAGCCAGATGTGGCAACTAGCCTATAATCCAGGGGAGGAGAGAGGAGGGAGCAGGGTGCAGGCAGCAGAATCCAGAGTTCAAAGTCATCCTTGGCTACATAATGAATTCAAAATCAACCTGGACTACATGAGACCCTAAGTCAAAAGGCAGAGGGGCTCAGCAGTTGATATGTACGACTCTTCCAGAAAAGTCCAGCTGGATTCCCAGAACTCACACTGGTCAGCTCACAACTACCTGTAACTCCAACGCCAAGAGATTCAACAACCCTCTCCTGGACTCTAGAGATACCTACACCCACGCACACGGCATACACATACATAGGTACACAAACATACATATAAATTAATATTTTAAGGGGCATGGGAGCAAGGGACCAGTGACATGGTTCAACCTGTGAAGGCACTTGCTCCTATGACTGACAACCCAATCTAAACTCAGACCTCAGAACCTGTGATGGTTTGAATAAAAATGGCCCTCAGAGTGGTTTTTATTCCCAGCACTCGGCACTCAGGAGGCAGACTCAGGTGGATCTCCGTGAGTCAAGGCCAACCGGATCTACAGAGTGAGTTCCAGGACAGCCAAGACTACAAGGAGAAGCCCTGTCTTGAGAAGAAAAAGAAAACAAGAACAGCCCCCAGAGGCTCATATATTTGAATGCTTAGTCATCAGAAAGCGGCAGTATTTGAGAAGATTTAGAATGGTTAGGAGGTGTGTCCTTATTGGAAGAAGTGTGTCACTGGGGGTAGGTCTTAAGGTTTCAAAAGCCCATGCCAGACCCAGTCTCTCAGTCTCCCTGTGGATCAGGATGTAGCTCTTACCTACTGTGGTAGTTTGAATGTAATTGGCCCCCCATAAACCCAAAGGGAGTGGTACTGTTTGGAGATGTGGCTTTGTTGAAGTAGGTGTGGCCTTGTTGGAGGAAGTGTGTGGCTGTGGGGGTTGGCTTTGAGGTCTCTTGCTCAAGCTTCACCTTGACAGACAGTCCACTTGCCTTCTGACCAAGATGTAGCCAGCACCATGTCTGCCTGCATGCTGTGCTTCCTACATGATGAAAATGGACTGAACTGAAAACCGTAAGCAAGCCACCCCGATTGAATGTTTTCCTTACAAGAGTTGCCATGGTCTTTGTGTCTCTTCACAGCAATCGACACTCTTAAGACAGCTACTGTCCCAGCACCATGCACGCTGCCATGCTTTCTGCTGTGATAATAGTGGACTGACCCTCTAAAACTGTAAGCCAGCCTCCAATTCACGGTGTCTCTTCACAGCAATAAAACAATGACTAAGACAGAACCCAACTGTGAAAGGAAAGAATAAATTCCTACAGATTGTCTTTTGACCATACTAGCATCAAGATGTGCTTGCACACAGACACACATATGTATGGTGATATTTTATTTGTACTGAAATGTGATTTTATTTGTATGTTAATAAATAAAGTTGCCTGGGGGTCAGAGCTAATAGCAAGCCATAGCAGAGCCGGGCGTTGGTGGCGCATGCCTTTAATCCCAGCTCTTGGGAGGCAGAGCTAGGCAGATCTCTGTGTGTTCAAGGATACAGCCAGCCTGGAGACACACGCCTTTAATCTCAATACCAACCATAGAAGACCTGAAGGTCTGTACAGACAGGCAGTGATGAGGCAATCATATGGTTGGGTTTACAACCAATGAAGAAGGCAGAACAGAAAGTCTATGTAATGACAAACACACAGGAAGTAGGTCTCTTGGCTGAAGAGGATAGCTGCAGAAGTGAAGGGTAAGGCTCTTAGCTCTGACCTCTTGGGTCTTTGCATTGGCTCTGTGTTTCTTATTTAATAAGACAGTTACTTCTACACATATGTGCACACACATACACATTAGGTCTCAGACAATCCATATATCCAGAAATGAGCCCCAGCTGGACTATAGAAGGATTTCTGGTGGGTAAATAAAGGCATCATGCCTCAGGACTTGTGAAATAGGTTCCCAGCCCCCAAAAGGAGTCATTCCCTTACCCCAAGCTGAAAGGACCTATGGCTCTCCGTTGACTTATACCTGCGGCACATATCAGCATATACACACGCTAGCCTCCAGGCTCCTATAGTCCCTATTCACAAGCATATGTTATTCACTTCCAAGATCCCACACTAGCATCCTGACCCTCCTCACCTCCTCTTCTACCTAAAACTCCCAGGCCTGCACCAATCATGGGCTGCTTCCCATCCCCAGCTACTCATCCTCCTATAACGCACATGATTTTTCCATCCCCCACCCAGGACCCTGCCCCACTCTCTTGCTTCTCTTAAAGATAGCCCTGGTCATCCATGTTCAGTCTACTTCTTTTTCTCTCTGCTCTAGATTCTTCCAGTTGCCTCTAGATATTTCCTCTCTTATTCACAATAAAAACTGTGCAATGGTGGTGCACACCTTTAATCTCAGCACTCAGGAGGCAGAGGTAGGCAGATCCTTGTGAGTTCAAGACCAGCCTGGTCAACAGAGCTAGTTACAGGACAGCCAAGGCTACACAAAGAAACCCCCCCCCCCTTTTTTTGGAACCTGTCCTGGAACTCGTTCTATAGACCAGACTAGCCTCGAACTCACAGAGATCCGCCTGCCTCTGCCTCCTGAGTGCTATGATTAAAGGCGTATGCCACCACTGCCCGGCTTCAAACCCTGTTTAAAAAAACAAACAAACCAACAGCTAGGCGGTGGTGGCGGCGGCGGCGGCGGCGGCGGCGGCGGCGGCGCACGCCTTTAATCCCAGCACTCAGGAGGCAGAGCCAGGTGGATCTCTGTGAGTTTGAGGCCAGCCTAGTCTTCAGAGTGAGATCCAGGACAGGCACCAAAACTACACAGAGAAACCCTGTCTCAGAAAAAAAACAAATAAAAAAAAAAACTTTCCCGTAGTGAAACAGCCATTTTGGTAGTTTCTTTACTGTACCCTTACATTTATTTATTTGTAAAAATAAATGTAAAAGAGAAGAGAGAGAGAGAGAGAGAAACTGGTCTACTTGAGAAATTGGCATGATTTCTCATAAAGTTAAAAAACTTTGAAGTAGGCATGGTGGCTCAGGCCTTTGAGACTTGGCATTTGAAAGGCTGAAGGATGGATATGAATTTGAGGCCACCTTGGGTCATAGAGACCCTGTCACGATGCGCCCTCCTAAATCCTTTAGTTTGAGATTGGTGGGATGGAGTTCTAGGGTTACAGGATTCTAATTTGATGTTTAAAATGGTCTCTTGGGGCCTACTACAGATGTTAGGGGAAAAGTTTTTGCACCCCGATAAGCCTCTCTGCCGACGCAGCAATCCAAGTCAGACCAAATTAGAAAAGGCCCTGGTTTAATGGGTAAAGCGTTCCCAGGTGATTCTCCAGCCCCCTGGAGAGGAGATGGGGAAGAGAGATTATAAAAAATAAAAAATAAATAAATAAATAAAAAAACACTTGTCTGTTTTCTGGGGTGCAGTTTAAATACCCTGTGGGAGTGGTCTTGAGCATCTCTGGGGGAGGAGCCATGTTTGGCAGGACTTTCTGGGGGACAGGGTCTGGGCAGAGAGATGGGGTTTCCACCAGAACATTAGGAGAGGGTGTTTTGTGTGTGTGTGTGTGTGTGTGTGTGTGTGTGTGTGTGTGTGTGTGTGTGTTTCCCCAATAAGCCAATTAAAGAAACAAAGAGCAGTAGAGAGA